CCCCAGAAGTTACTGGAAATAAAGAAGAGTGTTGGCTTTCGAGGATGACTTTAATAAACCGGTTAGAAAGAAATGATTTGATAATCTCAAAAACTTTTCCAGAAACACCATATGAAGCAAGCTTATGGAGAAGACCAGCATGCCAAACTTTGTTGAAAGCTTTAGATATGTCAAGAGCAATAGCCCTAGCCTCACTGCCTCCATCTAATGCACGATAAAATCTTTCAGTTACAGCAGTTAGCAAGTCGGCCGTAGAGCGAGAGGATCGAAAACCGTATTGATTGTCTGACAGCAGTTTATTTGACTCAAGATGAGATGTGAGGAATTTGTTGATCAAAGACTCAAAGACCTTGCTAATAACAGAAAGAAGACTAATCGGACGATAATTGGAGGGGTCAGAGTTTTCTCCAGAGTTTTTGAATATTGGAACCACAGATGTCATTTTCCAACAAGCAGGAAAACAAGACTCAGTCAAACACTTGTTAAATAGTTTAGAGAGAATTGAAGAAAGTTCTGGAGAACAATTCTACAAGACTGTGACAGGAATGTTATCTGGACCAAGCTACAAGCTGTAGACGAGTTTAATTGAGATATGACTTTAGCAACAGAAGCCGGAGTAATTTGAATGTCTAATAATGGGTCAACCTGTTTGACTGGAATGGAATTGTTTAAATATTACCGCTGTAACTAATTTGCCAAAAAAATAAAAACTAAGAATGTTTAAAAAGAAAAACACATCGGTGAATGTTAAAAGGGCTGAAGTCCAACTATGTAAACTTTCAGAAAACTGCATTCCCCCCCCCCCCCCCCCCATCAGTAACTTTTTAGTAATGGTTTAACAATTTTTTTTATTAAGCCATTAATAAAAAAAAACATGTGGATAAAAATATAAGAATAATGTTTTTCACCTTCAAAAAAAAATTTATTGAAGTATTAACATAAATTTACTATTTGGAAAAATGCATTTTTTTTTTAATTTCCTGGAAGTTTAAAAATAATTGGACTTCCGCCCTTTTAACATTCACCGATTCATTTGTAGTTCACCAATGAGTAATATTTTGGAGCAAAAGAAAGATAGGAAGAAACAAGAAATAAAAATACTGCTGGTAAAAGTAAAAAGACAAAAAAAGAACTTTAATCAATTAAAAATAATTTACCATCAAGTTAAGAAAGAAAGAGTGCCCGAGGCGATTTGTTGTTTAGTTTGCTAAGAAAAATATTAGGATCCACCCACAGAATACCGGATCCCCACTTTGCCCTACCTATAAAAAAAGAGAAAAAGTAAAAATTAGAAAAAAAAAAATTCAGTAGAGAACTTAATTATTGTCAAAAGATTAAACCCTAAAAGCAGCTAAATAATGAACAAAAATTAAGTACACAGACGCAAAAAAAAAACAAAAAAAGTACAAAATAATGAACAAAAAGCAAGAAAAATAAAGTACAAAATAATGAACAAAAAACAACAAAAATAAAGTACAAAATAATGAACAAAATGCAACAAAAATAAAGTGCCAAATAAAAAAAAAATAAAAAAAAAGGTGCAAGTGGAAATAAAGCTAAATCGTTATTAGAAAACTTGTTGAAAAAATCTACAAAGCTAAAACATTACAATGATATTGGAACGCCATTCTTCGAAAACATTAAAAAGTAATGTTTTAAAAGAATGATATTGGACACAACTTATGGTATTAAGAATAATTTTAGCTGAAAAAAATTTGTTTTTTTAAATAAACGAGTGTGGTACGAATAACGATATGGATACGAGGAATGAAAGGGAGGGGGAGGAGATGAAGGCGAATGTTCTCCCTTTAGAATTTTTTGGAATAATTTTATTTTGTATATTTAACATATCAAGTTGTTTGAAAAGAAAAATAAACTACAGATAGTAAAGCAGGCCTAAAATGATATAAATTGTACTAAAATCGTAAGATGCGATTTTAAAAATCGGATTATTTATTACGTCATTTCATAGTTACATAGACTAAAATAGCATAAGACTAACATTCATAAAAAAGTTAACTAAAAATGAGATGCATTACAATTTGTGAGCTTAAAAAATTTGCCTACTTAAAAAATCATAAAATTTAAAACGTCTGCATGCACCAAATCGAAAAAAAATCTAAAAATTCCCTCTCTCTTTCTATAAAGTCTTTTTTTTTAAGTTTATTTCGCCTTTTACTATAAATAAGATTTTCATATAAATACATATACAATAAAACAAATAGCTGGAGCAAGAAGAAGACGTAATCACTAAGAACCATTTTTATTAAATCATAATTTACAAATATTTTAGAAGATAATTGTTGTCAAAAAATTAAACCCTAAAAGTACACAGACACAAAAAAGTAAAAAATAATGAACAAAAAACAACAAAAATAAAGTACAAAATAATGGATTATTTTGTACTTTATTTTTGTAATTATTGTATTATTTCATATAAGTTTTAATTTATAAATTAGCAAATAGTAATTGCTAAACTGCTTACATTTTCTACAGTAGCAAAAAACAAATAAATATTACACACATACACATACCATTCTGAGATAGAAGTAATATCATTGATAAACTTTGTTATATGGATTTTAATAATAATTTATTTATTTATTTCCATTTTTATATTTGAGTTTAGCTTTATTTTAAAAAAGCATTTAAAATCAAGCATTGTGTAATCCATAAATAAGAAGAACCGTTTAGATTCCTTTTTAAATAGATCTAGAGAGATTATCGTTTTATTTTTTACGAGCAAATGTTTTTATTATCATGACTGCTGTGGTCATTTAAATGTCTTGGT